ACAAATTTTATTGTGTACGAAGCTCATTTAAGGCAAGAAATGGATTCATTTTACGTCATATTATGACACATAAAATTGTCCTTTTGTCAAGTACTACTGATCCTCTAAATCTCTGTAGATCCATGCTGTTTGGAAGAAATAAATATTTATAAATATTCTGTGCTACAGTGATGCTAGATAGATAGATAGGTGCACATTACACATCTATAGCCTGTATTGCAAACATACTTTGTGTAAAAGGACTTTTTCATTAAAGAAGAAAAATGGCTATGACACAAAAAGAAAAGATAAGAATATAAATATCCTTATCTATTCTTTAGTAATCATTGAATACTGCGTTTAAGTTTATTTTAATATATTTGGTTAACTAGCGGTCGAGAGAAGTTAATTATGTTGTTTATCTTTCTTGGATTTATTCTTAGTTCTTTTTTCATATCGATTATAAATTCGTCGAGAATTATTTCTTCTCATGCAATGAAGAATAATCTATTGATAAAAAATAATCGAATAATTAATTTCGAAACAATTGGAGGTATTGCTAACGATAGTTCTTTAGATACTTGTTGGTCTAATTCACATCTTCTCAATCAAACTTTTGCTTCAATGCAAAATGGAGATACTCTACTTATACCTTTTAATAAAACATTTTGGTTAATGGGTGGTATTTATGCACGTGGTCTTGCCTATGTAACTATTCAAATTGATGGAATTCTTAAATTTTCTGATAATCAAACTGTATGGCCTCGTGATCCTCAAACTCAACGTGTTTATGAATGTTTCTTTTTTGAACAATTAAATTATGTTACTTTTACTAGTTCATTATCTGGAGGAAATAAAGGTATTATTGATGGATCAGGTCAAAATTGGTGGGGTCTCGTAGAATATTTATTAATTGGTGAAAATCGACCACGTTTATTATCAATTTATAATTCTACGAATCTTTTAGTTGAAAATTTATTATTAAAAAATTCTCCTTATTGGACATTTCTTGCTAATGATATTGCTAATTTAGAAATTCGTCATACAGATGTAGATGCACGCATACGTCCAGATGCTCAATATCATGATTTAAATGAAATGACTGCTTTCAATACTGATGGATTTGATGTAGCTGGTACGAATGTATGGATTCATGATTGTAATATTTGGAATGATGATGATTGTATTGCAGTTAAAGAACAAAGTTCAAGTAGTATTCATTCATCTTGTAGTGAAAATATGCTTTTTGAGCGTATTAATGCTTCAGGTGTAGGTCTAACGATTGGTTCTATTGGTCCATCTGCTACACATACTTGCGTACGTAATATTACATTTCGTGATTGTACAATGTACAATACATTTAAAGGTATTTATTTAAAATCACGTCCAGGACAAGTTGGACATACTGGTGAAATTACAAATATTACATATGAAAATGTTCTTATTAATAATGCTTCTCAATGGTCTATATGGATTGGACCACAACAAGCTGGTTATAAGGATGCTTGTTCACTTGTATGGCCATTTCTACCTGACACACCTTGTCCTATTCCAATTGGTATTACTTGGAATAATATTGTTTTACGTAATATTACTGTTAATGGTCCTCATTTAAGTCCTGGTGTTATACTTGGTAATTTATCTAATCCAATGTTAAATGTTTTATTTGATAATGTGGTTGTAACTAAACCTGGTTTTTTTCCATGGGGTACACGTTATTATGCTTGTGAAGGTGTCGAAGGAATTGCGCAAGGAAATACACAACCTCCACCACCTTGTTTCAAAATAAAACCATTTTGATATTTATTTATTGATATTTTTTCTACATAAATAAATATATGAGACAGTTGTATCTCTGAAAAAGATTATTATTGAGTAAAACTTTTTTAGTTTTTGAAATTACAAATACTTTTATATTAAAGAATAATGAATAAAAAGATTTCTTCTGCTCTATAGAAAGAAGAAGTCAATTTGTTTTTTTGCATAAATCTCTAGTAGTGTAAAAATTTGAAATAAACTGACAGCATAAACATTTTATAATTTCTAGATTTCCTTGAGCCTTTATTTCGCTGTTATTGTAGATTTATAATTATCAGATTGTCTGCTAAAAATATTCGTATATTTGATTAATTTCTATTTTGTCGTTCTTTAATTATAACTTGACATTGTAAAGATCAACAGTCTAAAACCACATCATATTTCTGTATTACACTATTCGAACATGGAAATTCGTTTTGCCAGAGAAATTCACCGAGATACGAAGATACCATTGTCTACAATTAGCTATCAATTGAAAAAGCTCCGAACTCAAGGTTCTCTACAATATCGGGCAGGCAATGGTAGAAGACATAAGATTGGCACCCAATGTAGATGAGCATTAGGTCAATTTATTAGACAAAACAATGAAGTCACGTTGTATGAATTTGCTGAAAAGTTACGTAATCAATGTAAATTAACTGTTTCCACCAGCACAATCTCACGTCATTTTAATCGTCTTCAATACAAAAATTGTTTATCATTCAATACTCCAATGCTCACACAAGAACATAAAGAACGTCGAGTTGAATGAGCCAAATAACATTTAAATGACAATTGGAAATCTACAGTATTTACTGATGAAAGTTCATTTCAATTGTTTAGAAATACAATTCGTCGATAATCAAAAAATCCAAAAAAAGAAGAAAATAAAAGAATTCCGAAGAATCGACAAAAAGTTCATGTTTAGAATTCCATCAGTTATCATGAAGCATTTGGTCTTCATTCGTTTCAAAATATTATGAATAGTGATCATTACATCGAAATATTAGAAAACAACTTGATTCCCAATGCTAAATGACAATTTAATAATAAAATGGCGGCTTCAACAAGATAACGATACCAAGCACCGATCTTTAAAAACTGCAGGATGGTTGGCTGCTAATGTTCCACTTATTATGGACTGACCATCCAATATTTCGGATCTCAATTCTATTGAAAATATGTAGAACATCATGAAACATCGAATTGAATAAAGAAAAGAACCAAATGTTAATAAATTGAAAATTTTTATCGATGAAGAATGGAAAAACATTGAAAAAGATGTTATAATCAATTTGATTAACAGCATGAAAAACAGATATTACTATGTATTAAAGAAAGAAATATTTTTTTTGATAGCAATTGAAATAGGTGCGTTAATACAGGCTAAAGATTTGTTCGAAGTTTTTTTTGCAGATCATTGTATCTTGATTAGCTAACAAAAATTATAATAAGATAAGGAAAATTTGAAATCAGTTCAATTGTTAGTCCACAATACAATGAATCATTACTAATCGAATTAGATATAGTTCCAATCCAATCTAAATAAGTTTTTGTCGTGGATTGAGACTATCCAACTCGATGACTTCGAAATTTTTACATAAGAATATCCAAAATTCATTAACCGTTATCGGTTGTCCTATGATGGGACAACCGTTAGAAGAATTAAGTGAAAACTCTAAACGATCAAAACGAAGATGATGTTTACTTTGTGATCATTCCAAAGACAAAAAACACGAAATAAATGTTATTAATGTTCAGAAACTGTTTGTGATGAGCATTCTATGAAAAGAATTTTTTGTATTACTTATTCTAAATAAAGAAAAATTATGATTCTAATAAATTCTTTACAAGATCGAATAGGAAAATAGTATAATTTAAGCAAAAATATCAGTTTAATAATGAAAAATTACACAATTAAAATACATGCCATCATATTATCCTTAAAATAGACTTAGTAATACTAGGATTAAACATAAATATTAATGAAATAGTTCATTTTTTTGCCGATTCCAACATCACCGAATGAATTCATAACCATAAACGAGTCTGAATTAAATATAATCGGCTGTACATATAACATATTATTATAATTAATTAGTTTCTTACTAAATCGATTCATTACCACAGAATTGTACCCGATCAAGAATTTTCGAACTTGTCCGGTCGGTTCAAAAAATCTTTCAGATCGGTAAAAATCGGCAAAAACTGACTGGTTTATTGGATCATTAATAGCTGGTTAATGGGAATGGCTTCAAAAGACAGTCATTCTCCTTTTTACACTTAGGTTTTTTACAAATCTCCAAAAAGAAACACCATGTCGTAGTCGTTTATATCTGTTGAGTTCCTCAAAGATAAATATCGGATATTTCTATATATATATATATAGCGCGAAAAAAGACAAGAGTCATTTACTTGTTCTAATTTTTTTTATTAATAGAATCCACTATATATATATATATTAAGATAATGATGAAAAATCCCACAAGTTCATATTTTTTATTAATATTTGGTTCCTGTGATGAACACATCATTAAGATGTTTCTATATCTTCTTGTATTTATATTACTAGTTATTATTGAAAACTTTAGTTGTTGTTTTTGAAAATGAGACGAAACAAATTAGTTATAAGATAACCAATATGTACTTCAGTGGTCAAACGTCAAAATAAGAATTCTTACTGGTCTGTCTTGTCGCCCGCCAGGACAAAGTAAGGCAACAGAACAGAATAGAAAAAGTTGTTCAATGCCCAATTCTGATACCCACATTCACATCCAAACCATTGACCAAGCAACAGATTTACTTGACTTGGTAACTAACTGAGATGGTAACCGATCCCTTTAGTAATAAACTAATTAATTATACTAAAATGTTATATATAGAGTCGATCATATTTAATCCAGACTCGATTTTGGTTATGAATTCATTCGGCAATGTTGGAATCAGCGAAGATCGAAATTATCAAATTAATTGATTTCACAGTTTAATTATTGCAAATACAAGGATATTGATAGAAAAATATTTTATAAATTCTATATATTTAATTTGATATTTATCAATATCATAGAAAATGTCTTCGTTACCAATTCTTAAAAAAAAAACATAAACTCTATCGACATTAGTTTTTTCTATTTATTTTTTTGCTCTTTTCCTTTGCTGTTGCCTACCAATTGTTGCCTATAGATGATGAAAGAACTTTCTTTTTCTTTTTTTTTTTATTGACAATGTGCACGTTGAAGGGAAGAACAAGAAAAGAAATCAGGTTTTTTTTTTATTTATTCAATCGAAAATCACTGTGTATGAAAAAAGTATTTTTTCTAGCTTGATCAATTCAAAACAAAACAAAAAAATTGTAATGACGGATTTACAGTAAGTTCAAACAAATAATTGATCAATATGATAAAAAAAAGAATTCTTTTTATCATAGAAAACCTAATAATAATCAAATTGATCCTAAGTTAAATATATATTTTCAAAATAAACGTATTCGTCGACATTTAATAGCAGCAGGATTAGTAAGAATTTAATTGTGTGTGTGTGTGTTTTTTTTAAATAAATTTATTCGATAAATCTATTTAGATTAATCGTCAAGGTGAAATTTTACCTTCTAAAAACACTGAAATTATCCTTCCTCAACGATCAAAACAACGACGACGTCAATTATCTGCAGATAAACTATCAAAAGCTGTTCATCATTAGTAAATAAGAATTTCTTGTTTTCTTCTTCTTTTTTATTCGAATAATTTTAGTATATTAGAAGATGAACAAAAAGGTCGAGTACATATTCGTAATCAATTTGATTTTTCACTTAAACATGTTCATAAAGAAAAAAAACCAGTTTGTTATTCTATATTTAAATTCTCATTTGATTTTATTGAATAATTAATAGGAATCAAAGCATACAACTCGTCAAGGTATATCCCAGAGTTCATTAAATGTTCATCATTCACCAACAATAGTTAGTATATTAAAATATTTATTAAGTCATATAAACATATTTTCATGTTCGTGTTTGTTAGACAAAAAAAAAACGTTCACCAATACGTGCAAAATCTGCAAATCATTCATTACATGAATCGAGAAATCGTTCTGCTCGTTATTCAGCAAAAGATAAGGTAAAAGAAATTTCCTTATTAAAAATATTAAATTAGATATGTCCTCTAACTAAATTTAATAAAAATCCTGTTTATTAATAAATGACTGAGTTATTTATTGATGTTTGTAAATTCTAATAAAATATCTCAAAATTATTTTGAGATATTTTATCAGATTGATTGAAAATTGATTAATCAAATGTTAAAAATCAAAAAAGTTTCTTAAATTGAAATCATTAAATTATTATTGAAGCCTTGAAGGAAAGTTCATTCGATATTTCTTTTTCAATGCACTATTTCTTTCTTTTGTTAATGCGTGTGTTGAAGTCTTATTCCATTTCTAGTGTAAGATGCTTTCAGATGCAATATAATGACTTCAAAATATAAAGAAATAAAAGCACAATCCTTGCGGAGTTAATATATCAATTACGATGTAGTTGCTGTTGTTAATCACAAGCAGATTATTTTATTCTATGACACATTTCTTCACCATCCTTTTACGTCACATCCATGATATGTTGTTGCTAACAAGGGAACAGTTCCAAACGAGATTTCATCGCTTTTGGTCCCATATTTTGCCGATAAGTAAACCCAAATGAGACTAGTAGAAACTTATAAGAGTTTGTCTTCATGTACTGTCTTTTCCAAGTTATTTCAATGTTACTGAATTTTTAATCTCTGGTAAAATATTTGTGAAAAAATCAAATTGCAGAATTTAAATCTGAAACTTTGCCCATAGGTAAGTTTCATGAACAGTAGAATGCTCGAAAAATTTCAGCGCTAAAAGATGTATTGTTCTTGAGATTTACCTATAGGTGAAATTTTACGTTGAAATTCTGTAATTCAAGTTTTTTACCGATACTTTGCCAGAGATAAAAAAGGCTCAGGAAAATTGTAATAATTTGGAAAGGACAGTGCGTGGAGACGAATCCTTATGGATTTCTTCTAGTCTCGTTCATGCTCACTTATGAGCAAAATATCAGTTCGATTGGCAAATCATACTTGGGGACGTTCCATCGTGAGCTAGAGAAATTTTCTTGTAGGATTCTGATTTTCTAGCAGAATCATATTTTCGAACTTTGCAAATATCAAGACCGTAACTAGGCTAGTCTGTAAGAAAAAATTTCAGGAAATATGACCTTTTCAAAATATAGGCGCTTTTTAATGATATTATATAAAACGTGAATATTTTGAAAAACTTATATCTCCTGAATTTTTTATACACACTAGTCTAGTTACGATCTCGATATTTGCAAAGTTTCATATCAAAGTTTGAAAAATAGGGTCATAAAAAAAGATTTTAGTAAAACTTTTCGACTTCCATCAAATCACAACATGAGCCTATGTCATCTTAGACATTTTCTAGCGTATAGATCTGCTACTTATGAATAAAATATAAGGCCAAAAGCGACGAATCACTTCGACTTAGGTTCTTTCGTAAGATGTTTATGGAGGTTCGAATATACTTTTCTATATTGTTGTTGAACAACTATAAGAACAAGATTCTATAATTAATTAATAGGTTAGATAGTCATAGTAAATATAAAAAATTTTTTGCATTTAAAATGATAGACTTATTATTGTATTAAAATAGTCACGAAACAACAAAGAGCGTCATCGTGTAGTAATGATCTATTATGGTCCACAGACAATTATTGATTATAATATAGCTTGGTTTCAACCTGATGGTGATGAAATTGTTGTTTCACAACAACATTGTGGTGGAGAAAATCTTATTGTTTTTAAAGGTTATGTTAAACCTAATGGTAAAAAAAAATAAATCAATTATTATTTCATTTAATATATTTATTTAGAAACATTTGAATTTGAATCTCGACGTCATCAAGATTATCCATTTGCATTAGCTTTTTATGTTAATGGTCTTATTGATAGTCGATTATCAACTTGTTGTGAATATAGACATAAACGTAATATACCATTAGGTGGAAAACATGGTTTATTTGGTATTATTGATATAAAAAATATCAAACCATGTCGATAGTTTGTTATTTTTATTTATGAAATTATTGTTTTTTGTTTTAATCAAATTCTTATCTTTTAAAGTTGTCGACATAAAAAATATAGAAAAAAATCACGATCAAATGTTTCACTTGGACTTCAACCATCACGTTATCGAAGTTCATTTGCACCTCGATTTTTATTAAGAAGTCAATCTAATTCTCCAGAACGTCAACAAACACCAAGTCCATCTCATGCTCCAATAATAGTCAAAGATCATTCTCCAGATATATCTCGAACACCAACACCACCTGTTGCAGGTATTTAACAATAAATTTTAATGTTTATTTTCTTTGTATTTATTTAAATATATTAGAAGATAATAAAAAATCACGAATATCTTCAGCTAATCGTAATTCACCTATAGTTCCAGTAAGCATAACTTTATAGATTTAAATTTTGAAAATTATGTTTTTTTTTTTTGCAAATTTAGAATGATCAAAATATAGCAACAACACTTAATAATGATGAAGAAAATTATTTATCAGATTTTGATGAAACTAATGATGATGATCTTCCGCCATCGACTTCTCGATTTGTGAGTTTCGTTTTTATTTACTTTTCAATAATAGAATTTTTGTATATTTCATAATCAATAGGGTCGACCACGTATATCTGATTCACATTCAATTGATAGTAAAGAATAATTTTGTTCATTGAAGATTAACATTTTGTTTTTTTTTTGTAGACAATCAAAGAGATACTAATACTTCATCTAGAACTTCATCTATTATTTTTAAAAAATCTGCTCCTTCTAAAAATGAAGATAATTATAATCAATCGAAAGCTATTGATCATTCACGAAAATCTTCATCGAGTATTTCAAAAAGATCTGATTTTTTTGATGATGAAAATGATCATTATAAGTCTACAATACAAACGCAAAATAACAATGATGCTGAGAATAATTCATTAAATTCTTTGAATAGATTTTTTAAGAAATCTGATCCATCTAAAGATGAAAATAATTATGATTTATTAAATGAAAAAAATCAGTCACGAAAATCTTCGTCTACTTTATCGAAAAAGTCTGATCATTCTGATAATGGAAATGATCATTATAAATCTACAAAATTAACGACAAAAAATAATGATATCGATAATTTACGACGTTCTTCATCTAGTACTTTGAAGAAATCTGGTCCTTCGAAAGATGAAACTAATTATGATCTACTTGATATATTAGTTGGAAAAAACAAACCTGCAAGTCATTTACGAAAATCTTCATCGAGTACGTCGAAAAATTCTGATCTTTCTGAGGATGAAAATGATTATTATAAATCTACAACACCAACGAAAATAAACAATGATGCTGATATTTCATCAAGTTCTTCGCATAGTACCATAAAGAAATCTGATCCTTCTAAAAATGAAGATAATTATGAACTATCTGATTTATTAAATCGAAGAAATCATACTGCAGGATATTCACGAAAATCTTCATCTAGTATTTCAAAAGCATCTGATCGTTTAAATGATGAAAATGATCATTATAAGTCTACAATACCAACGAAACAAAACAATGATGCTGATAACTTACCAAGATCTTCATCTAGTACTTCAAGAAAATCTGATTCTTCATCAAGATATGAATATCAAAAAGAATCCAATGAGAAAACTATTAATAATACTAATGATAATCAATTTTCATCAACTACTACTACTACACAAAAAAATAATATTGGAAATCGACGAACAACATCGGACTCAGAAAATGATGCATTTAAAGCATTATTTGCAAAAAAACCTCAAGATACTGATTATTCATCGAATTTTCGTCGTGTTTCAACAAATTCAACAGATGATATTTTTGGAACTAAAAATTTTCCATCGTCAAAAAAAGATAAAGATATTCCTATCTTTTCAAAAGATTGGTTTGAGACAAACAATAAAATTGATCGAGATGATAATGCTGACACTAGTTACGATTCAAATTCTAATACAAGACCATGGAGAAAAGACTCGAGCTCTGATGAAAATGGTACGTATATTATTTAATATGAAATTTACAAATAGAAATAAATTAAATTTCCTTGCTTGAAAACATATTATTCATTTAGTTTTTCTTTGTCTAGTCTTTAAGACAGTAGTCGCAAAAAAACAATCGCAAGACCCGAGTAGGACTTGATTGGTCTTCATACGGAGAAATTAAAAGGTCAACATAGGTTTTTTCTTCAGGCGAGGATATTTCAACATAGAAAACAAATTTCATAGCGTTAGATCTTTCATTCAACAGCTAAATGATGCTTCTATCATCAATAAAAAATTCATGTCAAATGATTTTTGTTTGCCTGGTTTATGAAATATTTTTTGGATAATCTTCATATAAGAGTTAATGAAAATTGTCGAAAAATGATCAATATTTTCGATTAATTTTAACCATTTGTCTTGAAGTTGTTTCCAGTGAGTGCTAAGTTTTCCTCGTAAATTTCATGATCATAGTCATCAATGACGATGAGATCATCTCAGACAATGGAGGCTTCTCGCGCGCCTCAGGATTGGAGCACTTCATCTATAAAAGCCTTTTTTGAGCTTTAAGGAAAAAAAAATAGTACTTTCATCGGAAATCCTTTGCATTAAGATCTATCGACTTCAGGTTGCTGCTTGCGATCAAGGTTTACTGAGCTCTATTTGTAGTCAAAATATCAGGCAAAAGAATTGAAGTTAGTGTAATTTTCATGAAAATATTCTAGCAGATAATTTAGTTATACCTTTAGACAATTAACTATGACATCGATAAATTATCCAAGTTTGTTTTGCAAGAAAATATCATGAATCTTGACAATTTAAATCATCTATATCTTATATTGTTTTGTTTTATTTAAACTTCTGATCATAGTATTCCTAGTGGAATATTTGCTTTCGAATGACTACATAAAGCTCTTCGTATATATATATTATGTATAAAAATAAACTAAACTTTTTCATTTGATAACTTTGTTGAATTTTATTTTTTATATTGAGACAAAAATTTCAGTATATGCATTGAAATATTACTTTTAGATTGAAATGTACTAAGCAGAAAAAAATACAAAAATATTCAATTATTGTGATTACATAATTATTTTAAGTTCAAATTTCAAGAACATTTATATTACAATATGAACTGAATTTTTTGTATTTCTTTTCTCTTATTGTTAACTTTTTCTTTTTATTATATAAAAATGATTATTATATTGAATTGGTTGGCTTTCTAATTGTCATCTTTATTTTTTATTATAAAATATTGTATATTAAACAATTTTCCTTAATTTCTCGCTTCAACTAACAATTTATTATACGTTTTTCTTTGCTTATTTCTTGCTGCCTTAAATTTGCTTTTTCTTTGGAACATTTTTATTATAGCGTACCTCTATTTTATTATTGGCTTTATATTTAAATAAAATCGATACAGTACAAGAATACTGAATAAAATATATCAATTGAACTATTCGTATGTGTGTAGTATAATTAGATCCTATTACAAATACAATCAATGTATATCGTTACTATGTATAATAGTTTCATTTCCGTAAGTATTAAATGAATTTTTTCTAATGATTGGATTATTTTTAATAGAAATGGATCGAATAATTCAATTAATTTCATTTTTGTAAATAAATTTCGAATGATTAATTGATAAAAAATTCATTTTATTAATGATACCATTTCCTATTGAATAAAAATCAAATATCTCATTATAGGAATATTGAACGCAAAAAAAATGTAAAAAAATTTAATTGAAGAAGAAGAATTAAGTGAATTATTAAATATAAATATAAAAAGATTTTTAAATTAATCTCGATTTAACAGTATAGAAGCAAAGATATGGGTATCACATAACCATAACTATAAGTAGAGGTGTAAGCCGTACGACTGAGTCGCCGCAGCCATCAAATCATTAAGAATTTTTCAGCAGCCACTGCTGCGAAAAAGCAAGTTTAGCCGCTTTGCCTTCGTTACAAACGAAAATCTATGATAGTATGAGCCACCGTTGCTGAAGAGCCTGCAAAATTGAATCGGTGGCCGCTGAAAATTCTCAAAAATTGAAAATTTTTGCTCGCCACTGCTCGATTATTCGGCTTACACCTCTAACTATAAGATCATTCGTAGTCGTAATTAAACGCTGATTATTATCATCAATAGTAATTACGAAAGTGCGAATGTTTCAACCAAGACGATATCATTTTCCCTTGTTTTCTATTAAAAAACAAATGTAAGGTATTATAATAATTAGCAAGAATGAATAATAATCAACATAGAAGCATTGTTCAGCGTATTGTTATAGTTCAGTAACGAAAAACGACTTTTTTTTGGCAATCCTCTTTATTGAATCATTCATGATCGAGTTAGATAAAAAAAAAGAAAAACAATAGAACGAGTATATTTGAAGTATTTAATTTATGATCAGAGATGTGCGAGATTGGGACCGAAAAGACTTGGTCCTGCACATCTCTATTCATAAATCTTCGTTAAAAAGTGAAATAAACTATGATGGAGAATTTTTATGCCTTAAAAAAAAGCGCTCCATATGTTTTCAGGACACCCACACTTCTATCACTTGTATTATATATTCATTGGAGATCCACATAGTGACGACCTTGATGTTTAGAGAAATAAACATTATGTCGAGAATGATAGGATTCATTATCAAAAAATCCTAAAGAAAAGTTTTAATAGTTCAAAATCTTGCATTTTTTCTTCGTAGAACCTTTCATAATCGTCTTATTTCATATAAGAGATTCTATAATATAAAGATAAAAAAATCAATTATGACTTGAATTTATTGATTTAAATGTAATATAAAATTTATGTAAAACTTGTGACATACAAAATATAAGTAAAAGAAGAACTTCTATTAAAAACATACGAAGTAAATAATGATCAGTTCTTTTTGATTTTATTTCTCTTGTTTGTAAAAGAATATTGATTGATATATAATAGTTATACATTACATACGACAATGTAAATATTGTATATTTGAAATAATCATTAATATTGACGGAATTAAAATTTTTATTAATCCATAAATTAAATCAATTAGTAAACGACATATATTTTTTCTATAACATTTTAATGGTACATGGATCACTCTAAAAATTTTACGATTCTTCATTAAATTTAATAGATATATACAAATTTGATAGTTGTAGTAGTAGACCCAAGTCTTAGAAGAAAGTCTACAAAGTTTTGATCCTTGGACATTTTTTCTTTCTTTTTGTTGACATGATCATAATAAACTATAACTCGAATTCGGTTTTGTGTAAGATTTATACTATGCTGGAAATCATATTTTGCCAGGGAGTATCGCTATAATTTTGAATAGAATAAATATTGAATTTTATACCAAACGAAAGCCCGTCAAAAATCGGGTACTAAACAATAAGGATTATGCAAACTTTCGTACGTTGCAATGTCTAAATTTATGAAATTGGGATAACTTTTCTCACGCCTATGATCGGTGAAATTTTCTAAATTTAGACATTTCACCATATGAAAGTTTTCATAATCCTTATTGTTTAGTACTAATAAACCCTATTTTTGACGGACTTTCGTTTGGTATAAAATTCAATATTTACTCTATTTAAAATTATAGCGATATCCTCCTAGCAAAATATTATTTCCAGTCTAGTATCACTTAATCTACAATAAAACGAAAGAAGAAATGTTCAAGAGGCAAAACTTTGTGGACTTTCTTCTATAAAAACAAAATTCGATAAAGAAAAACTAAAAATGATGCTTAATCATGTGTAGTCAATTCTATTGATTATATATTCATATGAGAAAATCATTTAATTATTATGAAATTGAATAATATCCTTTCAGATCTTTGAAAATATCTTAATAAGAATATATTTCTATCTCAATATTAATTATAGAACTTCAGATACGAAAAGAAAATCATCCTTATTGATAACTTTCAAACATTTGGTAAGATAACAACTGATGTTTATAATGTCTATTACAAACTTATTCTTTAAATAAATCATGTAGGAAAAAGACATTAACAATTATTTAGAGTAGTCTCGTTAAATAGCAAAACCATATGGGTAGAAAGAATTGATAAAAAATTTATATGTATTCCATAATCTCTACAAATGATAGAAACCATATGTCAATGTGTGATATCAATCGATTTCTTTTTCTATAACAGATATTTCAATTAATTTACCTAACTGCAATTACAATTAAGACAATCTGCTTAACTCTATTCATCCAAATGTATGGTAGAATAATCTATATAATAAGTTCAATAATTGGTAGTTATTTTACGTACCATCTGATGTCTGATTCGTTCTATATTTTTCTCATAAAAGTAGGAAAATATTTAGCAATCTGTTAGTTCTGTAGAGTTCGACGATTTTCACAATCTCATGTGGAACCGAAATTATGAAATCATCCGAAAGATACGAAAATTTTCAATCTATTTTGAGAAATTTTCACTATTGAGTTGTTGAGATTGAAGATGTAACATATTTTAGAACTTAAACAAAATAACATTATAAATATATACCGTAATATTTAATTTCTCGATGGATTCAAGAATTTTTGTATCTATCTGATGATTTAACAGTTTCGATTCCAGGGTTTTTCGAACCACCGAACTCTACAATTCTGTTCTACATGATTTCTACTAACCCAACAAAATCCACGCAATAGAAATTTTTCTATCAAGCAAAATGTATGATTCTTCTTATATTATTTTGAAACATGTACATCCCAACAGCCTCAAATATTGATTATTGAATAATTCACAATGAAATTTATTCGACCGTTCAATTTGAGATGATTTTGGTTGTTATACTAAATGAAAAAAAGTAACATCGAAAGATACTCCTATTGAAAAACTAATATCTGAAGTCATAAAAATTCGACAATGAGTTCTTATATTTATATATTGGACTTTTCGTTTGAAGCTTGTTTTGGAAAATGATGATGATGATTATTTACATTTACAAAAAAAACATACCGTTTTTATAGAGAATTAAAAGATTTATTTTTTGAAAAAAGATAAGTGT